TAGGGACGGCTTGAGAAACTTTCTCTGACAAATGTAATACTTTAAACCATGACCTAGTTCCCTGAATACTTAAGCATTCTTTGCATTCCTTCCTCTCCTGGAGGACTGTTTATCAGGCACAGTTCCAAAAGGGACTTGAAATCTCGCTCTCTAGATAACACTGTACGTCCTCTTTGGTCACCACAGACTCTGCATATAGGACAAAAACCTTCTGAGCATTCAAAAGATCTAGTATGTCTTTAATTAGTGTGAAAAGAATAACCGACCTTCGTTTTAATCAAAGCAAACCAGCTTTCTATATCGTAACTGAGAGACCTAAAACTGCCATCGAATTGCATTTAAAGTTAACTTAAACTCTTGAAAGTTTTACAAAGAAAAAATATCAGCTAGGGGCGCCTGGGTGGCGCAGTCGGTTAAGCGTCCGACTTCAGCCAGGTCACGATCTCGCGCTCCGTGAGTTCGAGCCCCGCGTCGGGCTCTGGGCTGATGGCTCGGAGCCTGGAGCCTGTTTCCGATTCTGTGTCTCCCTCTCTCTCTGCCCCTCCCCCATTCATGCTCTGTCTCTCTCTGTCCCAAAAATAAATAAATGTTGAAAAAAAAAATTTAAAAAAAAAAAACAAAAAGAGAGAAAAGAGTTTGAGACTCCCACTGCTCACTCTGCAAAGGGGCTCAGAGCAAGTCGTGGGCAGTCCAGTGGAGGAGGAAGAGGAACGAAGTCTGGTAGTTTCTTTCTGCAGTGTCCCGGCTGCCATTTTGGAGATTCCAAAATCTTCTAGGAACGAGAGGAAAATGCTGCTGGAGGCACTGAGATGTTTTTTAAAGCTTGTTTAGTCGTAATGTGGGAATGCTTCACGGGAATAAACTCTGGCTGACCCACTCAAAGGATATAAGCTTGAAAACATTTAGGGTTTTGATTTGCTCAAAAGAGGTGTTTACACTTTTTGAAGCACAGATCCAGTGGGAATAGAGGTTTTCTGGTGCTCCCTATGTTCAAATGCAGAGAGCATGTCTTTTAAGTCTAGTGTCTATCTCTGTGTTTGTACAAGTGTAGAAGTAAGTACAGAAGGGTTGGAGAAAGCTGAGTGAGGAAGCTTCAGAATGAAAGAAGGGAGTAGAAATTTCCGCTTTTTCTTTTCTGGAAACTTGAGTCCCGACACTGCTTTCCTCCCTGAAGTAGATGACCCGTAACACTACATCCGGCTCCGACATTCACCTCCCGTGTCACTAAGTTGTGCGACTGCCTCCTTCAGTGTAACTGATAAATCAATCCTTGTCTTCTGTGGGCATTTGAATTACAGACAAAAGAGAATGGCTGAGGACAACTCAGATAGGTGCTAATTGACAACGAAATGCATCCACTATGTACGAAATAATCAGGCATAAAACATGTATTCTCCCTTTTTTAAAAAATGCTTATAGGGGCGCCTGGGTGGCGCAGTCGGTTAAGCGTCCGACTTCAGCCAGGTCACGATCTCGCGGTCCGTGAGTTCGAGCCCCGCGTCGGGCTCTGGGCTGATGGCTCAGAGCCTGGAGCCTGTTTCCGATTCTGTGTCTCCCTCTCTCTCTGCCCCTCCCCCGTTCATGCTCTGTCTCTCTCTGTCCCAAAAATAAATAAACGTTGAAAAAAAAAAATGCTTATAAATACATATACACATAAGAAAAGACAGAAAGGACTTAAATGTTAAGGAACAGTGGGTTAGGTTTCTTACAATTTGAGGTGACCTTAATTTATTGGTAACTCTCAGAAGCACCTGGAACTTTAACAGTAGTATCAACTGTGTAAATGGTTGGGGTTGGGAAAAAAGGAAAACAAAAACACTATTTTTGTCACAGACAAAAGTGAGTTTTTCCTTCCACAAGATTATGTAAACAGCATCTCTAAGCAAAACACAGAATGGTGGAAATATCCGAATATGGCTAGGAATGAAGTCCCATTTTTGTGTGGAGTGTTGGTGTCTCCTGGGCTGTGAATGTTCACTTGGGGGGTATCGCCCGTGGGGGTCAAAGCTTGGGTGGCCCACTCGCTTTGAGACTCAAGCTATGCTTGTAACAAAATTGGCTCAAAACTCAGTTTCAATAATATCCCTGTCATATATTGTCTGGTACCAACGTTAATCCATCAAGTGCTTTTTGGAAATAGGGACAGGGTCCTGTGGTCACTGGAAATAACTAATCCATAATCATCACACTTTGGGTATAAGGAGGGCTAGCAAGTAATGTCAGATTTTAAGACTCATCTGATGTTATTTAATGTACTTCATTATATGTATGTAACATTTACGAGGAGAGGAAAGTTTGTGCCTGTGTCCTGTAGATGTTTTGCATTTAAAAACACTCAGTTTGGCTCTGGGTAAAGATAGCTTGAGTTTGACAATTCGTAAAGAATTATGAGAACTCTTCCAGGAATTATGGAAATTCTGTAGGATTCTAAACGGTAAAACTTCAAACTGTTGGTTCCTAAACAAGGGGCACAGTTGCCCAACGTTTATTGCATTGAAAAATTGAGGCATTAAAACTGCTTTCTTAGGGTGCCTGGGTGGCTCAGTCCGTTGAGCGGCCGACTCTTGGTTTTGGCTCAGGTCACGCACAGTCTTGTGGTTTCGTGAGCTCAAGCCCTGCCTGGGGCCCTGTGCTGGCAGCACTGAGCCTGCTTGGGATTCTCTCTCTCTATTCCTCTCTCTCTCTCTCTGCCCCTCCCCTACTCATGCTATCTCTGTCTCTCAAAATAAATAAACTTAAGACAACACACTGCTTTCTCATGCTCCCCATTTAGTTTGCACATCATGGTGCATGCACATCAAGCATTTTTTAGATTGAAGATCCACGGGATTTCTGCGGAGCTCGCAATAATATACGTTCCCTGCTTTCCTCCTGCCTCTTCTTCATGTTGCTAATCAAATCTGACTTGGACGTGTTCACATAACCAGTGATATTTAGTCCAAATACTCTTAAACGCTGACCTTTTTGCTGATGGGCATTGTGGAGACCTCCCTCCCCACCCTCACCCCCACTTTTGTCTTTAGGTTTCATTTCAGACTCCTATCTTTCATAGTTGGGTAAGAGAAGACTTTAAGTGGAAATGTAATCTGAGCATTCTCATAAGTAGACTCAGCGTGGGCATTTTGAAGCCGACTCTTCCATCTGTGGAGTAAGTATTAAAGTGCAGTGGTATTATTTCAGGAGGCAGCCCGTGCCGCCGAAGGGCAGCTTTGCTGGGAGCCGGCAACAGCCAGGTGAAATCAATTTAGCTCAGTTCAAGACTTCCCGATTGACATGTCTTGAACCTGCTGTCCCTTCAAGGCTGCAATCAAAGTCAGTGGTTTGGCCAATGTGCGCTGCTAGCCTGTAAGCAGCACGGACTGATGCCAAGGGGAGTGGTGGGCCCGGAGATTTCTTTGGGCTGGGCGGGTCTGGAGACTGCGGAATACTCTTAGTGCCATTTTTTTTTTTTTTAATTTTTGTCTTAATGTTTTTATTTATTTTTGAGACAGGGTGAGACAGAGCATGAGCAGGGGAGGGGCAGAGAGAGAGGGAGACACAGAATCAGGCTCCAGGCTCCGAGCCATCAGCACAGAGCCCGACGCGGGGCTCGAACTCACGAGCCGTGAGATCATGACCTGAGCCGAAGTTGGACGCTCAACCGACTGAGCCACCCAGGCGCCCCTCTTAGTGCCATTTTATCGTTACGCACCGCAACAGGTCCTTCAGCAATCTGTAGTGCTGTGGAAAAAACCCTGGAAGTTCTTGGTGGGGAGTGCTGGCCTTCGGGCTGTGGTGCTTCCGTCTGAGCTGTAGGATCTGTGGCCCGCCAACCCCCACCCTCTGTGATCCCACTGGGTTCCACTGTTCCCTGCTGTGAAATGGAAATAACAGCACCTGCCTACATTGGTTTTCAGATACTGGGAAATGTGTGCGGATTGTAAAGCATTGTTGACATCCTGAGGTTCCTAAATGGTTATTGAGCTATTTTTGTAAGAGCCTTAACACTTTTTACCTATATTCTCAGGTTTAAAAAATAATAATAATAATAATATAGGAGCGCCTGGGTAGCTCAGTCGGTTAAGCATCCGACTTCAGCTCAGGTCCGTGAATTAGAGCCCCGTGTCGGGCTCTGTGCTGACAGCTTGGAGCCTGGAGCCTGCTTCGGATTCTTTGTCTCCCTCTCTCCCTCTCTCTGCTCATGCTCTGTTCATGCTCTGTCTGTCTCTGTCTCAGAAATAAATAAACATTAAAACAAAATAACGGTATATCTATATGTCTACTATTTTTGCAACTGAAAACATCATTTGCATAGGGTATTCTCCGGGTTAGAGGACCAATGTCCATTTTAGTAACATTTTAAAGAAAAAACTGACTCGGAAAAGCATGTGTGACGCATCTCTTCTTTGTTCTCTTGTCTCTGAGTACACTGGTCTTCAAACCATGGGGTTCCTAATTTGCCCCCCTTCTCTGCCTCCCCTGTACCTTTCTTTTCTCATACGCCCATCACGTGGGAACTTCAGTCTCAGCTTTATCCGTACTCCCTTTTCTCCCAACACCCCATAGGTTGGGGCTCCTCTGTTTATTGTGACTTGTGTTTCTCCACCATGACAGTTTCCATAATTGTTTATTTACATGTCTGCCCTTTCGCCTGGGAAGGTCATATTGTCACTTAGGTATACTCTGGTCAAATGTATAACCTGCATCTAAACACAAGGAAAAACGTTGCTTTAAAGAAAACAACATTTTTTTCTTGAAGTCTGCTTTTGATGGAAGTTTGTAAGCTCAAGGGGGCTTGGACCACACCTGACTTACTCGTTGTATATTCGATAGGACTGGGCTGTATGTTAGGGATGGCATTTAGGTGAGTGAATGGATGAAGGAGTGGTGCACACATTTGCCCTGATACAAAGCCGTATCTGCGCCCGGGACCTTTTGTAAGGTAGCGGGATCATGCAGCGTAATAAAAGACTTAAATCTTCATCGTCATTGAAGTTTACATGGTTTTGCTTTCCGTGTAGCTCCTCCAGAAGAATGGTCAGCTGTCTCCTGCCAATGGCTTAGCTGAGGAAGAAGATTTCAGCCCCCAGGAGGGAGCCCTGAATGGCCAGGAAGAAGAAGTCCCTGTCACAGATGGTAAGCTGCCTCTTCGGGCTCTGGGCAGAAGCAGGGGCTGGAGGGTGGACGACGCCTGCAACGAATCCGTGCAAAACAAGGAAAACAGGCCTGGGAAGAATATAGAACGTCCCGCCTGGGGTTGCCTGATTTCGACAACAAAAGCGATCAATTGGTTCCAAAGGGAAATATTTCTCTATACTTAGGTGTAGGAGTGAAGTCACGTTTCATGTTTCTTAGATATTTTTATCTGGAACTTTTTTTTTTTGCCTTCTCTCAACTACTCGTCTGGTGTTCACTGTCATTCCTGTGAATTCTTGTTGGAAACCCCAGAGTCCTGGTTGCTTTAAGAGTCAGTCTCTCTCACTCTGGAGAGTAGCCTCCTCTCGCACAGATTTTTCTAGTTGTGTATGTTTCAGGATGCACGCTTCTCTTTGCCCAGGCTACGATGTGTTGCGTGTTTTCTAGCTCTTGAGACTACCAGGTCCCACGGGGGTGGTTACTAGAAAGCGAATCTTTCACCACATTGTCACCTAGTTCGAGTCAGCCCCCTCGAGGTAGCAAGGACCATGGTTTAGGGTCATTAGGGTCAGAATCAAGTACCTTGACCGAGCACCCTTCTCTGTGGAAGGGCCACAGGTTGAAGAAGAAACTTCCTGTGTCTCCTCCTTCCATTCAATCGTAAACAAAGGGATAATTTCACAACCACTCTAGAAGACATATGAAATGATGATTTGGCATGCAGTGAATTGCGTCTTCTATGCAACATAAATAAGACAAATGTAGGGGAAAGCCCCATGAAAGGAGACTGGCCATGGCCTTGGTTAAATGAGACTCTCCTAACATGTGGAACCTGTTTCTCTTCTTGCTCAATACCCCCATGGAGCTACTTCAAGCAGCGAGCTGCTTTTGAAGTTGGTGGGAATACTGATCTTTATAGAACACCACAGGCACAATATAACGTTAGAAATATATACAGTCTCACAGAAGGGAGGATTTGCATGACCCGGTGTGAAAGTTTCAAATCATCTCTACCAAAATAATTGGAATGGCCCCAACTCAAATTCCAAAGGCCCGGGCTTTGTCCTTCCCATGGCAACTTTTGAATCGAGTCAAGCCACAGCAGGTTGGGAGCCTTCTATGGCCAAGCCAACTGTGCTCGGTGCTTCAGGGAAGATGAACAAACTGAGAAACGACCCACCACTGGTGGCGGGGTTGGGGGGACGACAAGAAGCGGGTCTATAGAAGGATCAAAGGAAGGTTAAGACAAAGCAGCGTGGTGGTTATCATGTGAGTTTTGCAAGGAGTGAGAGCTGCCCTCCGTTCTGGTGGTGCAATCATTTGAGATCCAAGGGTGGATAAGATCTGGGGACGGAGGCAGGGTAGGGGTTAGGTTTGTTGACAAGGGATGAGAGCCAAAGTGAGTAGAATAATAACAGCCAACACTTCGCAAGCTTTTCCTCTGGGTCCTGGATCTGTGCCTTTTGTGCAGTGTGGTCTTTAACGAGGCGGGTACTATTGTTCTCAAGGTTCAAACCCAGATCAGCAGATTCTCAAGCGTGAACTCTTAACTGCTGTGCCTTCACTGTGCTGAGCACGTCCAAAGCCTTGTCTGTTAGGACAGTGTCTTCTGAGCAAAGAATAGAATGAAAACCCAGCAAGGAAAGTGTACTAGATAACCGGGCTGTGAAAGCACAGTGCACTTGAGGAATATTTAGTAGCAATGTGGGATCACTGAAATACACCACCAAGGGAGAGCCTGGGTCAGGCAGGCTTCCTATCTGACGCTGGCTGATGGATGCGATCAGCAGAAGGCAGAGAAGGATCAAGGACATGCCTTAGCAGAAGATCATTCCATTGTCTCCCTAGGCTGACCTAGGCTTCTGATCATGGCCTTGGGGCTTGAGCAAATATCCAACACCTCCCTGCAAGAAAAGTGGCAGTTAATATACCTTGCCCTTCAAAAGGCCTGAAAAGGCCTTGTCACCTACGAAAAGACAGGCAGGGGGCCTAGGGCTGCAAAGGCCACCACCTGAGGCCCTGCTTTTAGGATGAACTGTCATTCATTGACTTACTAGGGTCTCCAAGGGAGCTTGGTACACTGGTTTTTTTTCTTCTCCCTTTTACTTGCCTGGCACTGTAAATACGGACAGTCTTTAGGGCAAATTATTAAAAAAATATTTTTTCATGCTATTCTTTTGGGCAGTGATAGCCTAAGGCTATATTTTATGGTTATTTCCAGAAAATCTCTTCCCCAGCGATGCTTACGATAATGTAAACAAAGGCATGATTTGGTGCGTAACACTTAATTATAGGATTTGGGGGACCTGGGTTTCCACTCCTGTCCACAACAGTAAGAATAGATCTGACCCGTCTTGTTCCCTTGGAGAATTGACCAACAGTGTTGGTTCTGCCATAAATGGATCAATTAACGGGAGAAAACTGTGAACAAGGGCCATTCCTGCTAGAAGTTTCTTAATGTTTGTTTATTTTTGAGACAGAGAGACAGAGTGTGAGCAGGCGAGGGACAGAGAGAGACAACAGAATCAGAAGCGGGCTCCAGGCTCTGACCTGTCCGCACAAAGCTCACCGTGGGGCTCGAACTCACAAACTGGGAGATCATGACCTGAGCCGAAGTTGGATGCTTAACAGACTGAGCCACCCAGGTGCCCCCTGCTAGAGGGTTTTTAACTTAAAGTGGCCAAGGGGCATCTGGGTGGTTCAGCCTGTTGGGCATCTGATTTCAGCTTACATCATGATGTCGAGGTTGTGGGTTCGAGCCCCGCATTGGGTTCTGTGCTGACAGCTCAGAGCCTGGAGCCTGCTTTAGATTCTGTGTCTCCCCTCTCTCTCTCTCTGCCCCTTCCCTGCTTGCTCTCTCTCTCTTTCTTTCTCTCTCAGAAATAAACATTTAAAAAAAAAATTAAAGTGGCCGACTATATTTAGACAGAGCCAGAAGTGAAAATATTTTCTGACCTTAACTTGCTTGTTTTCTTGCTAAAACCAGGAATAGTGGTAATTCAGAACCAATCTTCTTCCTAGAATGAAAATGGAATCCTGTTTCCTTGTAAACTTTCCATAAATGACACAAAAAAGGAACTTCTTCCTAAATGCTAATCTGTGCAGCAGGGTTAAATATGTATATAGGTATTTTGTAGAGGACTTGAAGATTATGTAATTTCACGGGCCATCTTTTAGAAAGCAGACAGTCAGAGTTGAAAACAAATAATTATTAAAATAAAGAAAAAAACAATTCACAACAAATTACTTTAGCCTTGGAGATTTACCCCTTCTGAATTCTTTTTGGGTGGTTTACCATTTATCAAAACTGCTTCTGTAGAACCACAACCTTTTCCCAATTAGAAAATTCTCTTGGGGTGCCTGGGTGGCCCAGTCGGTTAAGCATCTGACTCTTGATTTCGGCTCAGGTCGTGTTCTTGTGGTCATGAGATCGAGCCCTGCGTCAGGCTGTGTGCTGACAGCACGGAGTATGTTTGGGATTCTCTCTTCCTCTCTGTTTGCCCCTTCCTGGTTCACATTCTCTCTCTCTCTCTCTCTCTCTCTCTCTCTTTCTCTTTCTCTCTCTCTCAAAATAAACTTAAAAAAAAAGAAAAAAAAATTTATCATGCCATGTTATCCCCAGCATTCACAGTGGTTGCACGAGTGCCATTAGTTCTATGGAAAATCTGCTTCTGTTGAAAAGATTTTTAAAGAGCCCTCTCGGGACGCCTGGGTGGCTCAGTTGGTTAAGCGTCCGACTTCGGCTCAGGTCATGATCTCGAGGTCAGTGAGTTCAAGCCCCGCGTCGGGCTCTGGGCTGACAGCTCAGAGCCTGGAGCCTGTTTCGGATTCTGTGTCTCCCTCTCTCTGACCCTCTCCCATTCATGCTCTGTCTCTCTCTGTCTCAAAAATAAATAAACGTTAAAAAATAAATAAATAAATAAATGAAATAAAATAAAGAGCCCTCTCTGTCCCAAACTGTCATTTTTTCATAGTCTGTGGCTTATGGATTTTCTATGAATTAAATGCCTCAGCAAGAATGATTTTTAAAACATTACAGATTGGTCCAGGTCCAATTTTAGATTTAAAACTTTTGCAAATTAAAACTTTCCGACTCAAAAAAAAAAAAAAAATTGTAGCCTTAGTATCTGTTGCACAGATTATTTTTTTTTTTCCAGATGGGAAAATTCAATATTACAAAATCAAAAAACTTAAGACCTTCCTTATTTAGATGATATATTTTTATGAAATAAAGTACCTACTCCACTCATTGCCATGTGCATATTATCGATTGATTGTCTCAGATCTTCATGCATTTGGACTTATCATTTATAAGGCAGTCATTTCTGTTTCCTCTTTGAGATTTGCCTTTCTGCAAAGCAGACACGGCAAACGTAAAGCACATGAATGCCATGATTTTTCCGTCTCCACAGGTCACATTTGTTTTTGTGAGTAAACAAATCTTTTTTTGCTTTTAAATTTTTGTTCACGTGTGCGTTTATACTGGTCACGTGCCCCGAATGAGGATGTTTACACCAGCGACAATGGAGCGGTAGTCGGGGCTCTGCTCCTGACATTTGCCACACTGGAGCCAGCAGCATTCTGAGTAGCAGCCAGCTTTGTTAAGCTGATCAGAACGGTAAGGAGGGTCATTGCTGGGATCCAGAGGCAATCCTGGGAAACGCCAAGAAAAATGTAAAAACAGGAAAACCCCAAATGTCACTTAAAACAGAAGTCTTTTAGAGAATGTGTTTCTTACATTCTGCAGGATTCCACTTTGCTACAGCGTCTGGATATTGTCTCCCTGATACCGTAACAAAAACGGGGTATCCATCGCTCAAGTTATCTAGAAGCTTAATTTGCAACCTTATGGACAATTTCGTTTTCCTAATGGTGCTTAATGTCACTGTCTTAGCTTTTATTAAGTTTGCTGTTTGAAACCTGCCAGATTTTGGCGTTTAGTGCCTTTGGGATTCGGAAAAGCCAAAATGTTTCTGACTGCCAAGTGATCACAACCTTCC